CAAGGGGGCAACATGTAAGAAAAGGACAAGATACGGTGCATGAACACACTCTATCTAATGGTTTTGTACTTTAAGAGGAAGCAGGAGTCCATTGAGAAAATCTAGGCTCAGAATGAGATTTGAACCCAGGTGATACATTCATGTTGCAAATACTCAAACATGAAGCAGTTTTGAAAATATAACAGTCAAGATGCATTGAGAAGAAATTGGCTGGTGATTTCGGACAAGCCTGGCCCTGACTACTGATCACCTGCAGTGTTGCCAACTTAGCATCTCTCTAGCTAGCTTTAACAAGTATTCAGATTGGAATCTGATGGGAAGTATTTCAAACAAAAAAAAAGAAAAAAATCATATGAAGAATATAAGATGGCATTTGGAGATTTAAAAAGAGAGAGACAGAGCGAGAAAGAGAGAGTTTCGGTAGAAAACAGGAAGGCTGAACAGAATACAGCTTAGTTCCTCTGAGTTGTTCTTTTGAGCTATAAGGCTTTTTGTTTTGGTGGATTTGTAGATGCTGGTAACCTCATGTTAGCCCGGTAATCTCTTTAATTTGTTTTGAAATATTAAAATGATGTTAAGCAATTAGTGAAGCACAGTGGTTCCTCTTCCAAGCATCACACAATGTTACTGCAAATAGTTAATGACCAACACACCAAAAAGACTGGAGAAATACTTGAAATGCTGCCCTTACATCTGCTCATAAAGTAACTGCTGAACAATAATTTGATTCGGTTAAAATTGTGTTGGTAAGTCAAAAACTTTAGAAGCACAGAACACTAACCAGAAAAGTCAAATCTGTGCCTATTGAAAGATAAAATCCAAACATAGCTCTATTACTTTTTAATAATTTTGATTCGCAAATTTTTCCCTTTTCTAATTAAACCGCTATTATCTAAATGAAGTCACAGGCTGTTATAAAAACAGTTTACAAGACAACAGCAATCAAAACTTTCCCATAACAATTTGAATGTGGATGCAGAAGCCTCCATTTTTCCCTTGCTATAAACAAAATAATTTTTACTCAAACTGAGACTGAGCAACATATATCATCTGTCCTTTATCACAGGAAAGAATAAAAGCCTCTCATTTAGCCTAAAGCCCTGCACACACAGACAGGTGACAGAGTAGACAAATTAGAGCAAAGAGCTAAATTGATCTGGCTGCTGATTGATTTTCAGTTCTGGCTTTGTGCGGTTGTTTTTACACTTATAGCACATTTAAGTCAGGAAGGGATTCTTCCAAGTTTCAGGGGTCACAGAGTGGCCAGAAGCATAAGGTTTAAAACCCATAAGGAGATTGTGAAACAGTTTTTTTTTAAATGCCCACAACTATTAGCATCTGAACACTAGATTAAGCAATATTTATCTGTAAGAAGATGTAGAGTCCCTGATCAAGTTTAAAAGATTGAGTTTACCGATATGCAGAAACAATTTCCAGCTTCGGAACATTTGAAAGTCAGACAAAGAAATTAGGAAAGAAGAGAACTTTTAAAAATGTAGATTTGTATTTTCCCAATATAAAATATGAAAATAGATTTTTTTTTAAATAACAACAGTATTTCAGTTGTCCTGGACTTATTTTGTTTAAAATAGAAACAAAAAGTTAAACAGAATAAAGAATAAAGCAAAACCAATTCAGTCTTACGTCGTACTGAATAAGCGCCCTAAACGCGCACGACGACACTGCCCTCTAGTGTCGCTACGCAGCATTGCCATCACAGGAACTTCACAGCGCTTTCCAGATTTAAAAATAAATATTTTCTAATCATTAATGTATTTTTTTTCCTGATCTTACACTCTTCAAATGTAAGCATAATAAAATACGTGAGGTAAATTTAGTCCAAATGACACACATTACATCAGTGAAGTCGAATCATTGAGGACATTTTCCCTTTGAATACATGACAACAGTTTTCTAAAAGGAGTTCAGTTAACTAGTGCAAATGAAATTAGTTTATTTTTACCTATTGAAGCTGTTTCTCTCTCAAACAAAAGCTGTTGTAAATAAAGTAACCTCTGCAATAGACTCTTTGAATCGCCAGGCTTTTATTGCACTTATTTAATTAAGTCTATTCGGCTTTGTATCATCATCATCATCATCATCATCATCATCATCACCACCACCATCATCATCATTGCATCGTATTTATTCATTTCAATGAATAGGGTTATGTCACACAACAGACAGCAACATGAATTAGAACCATTCTATGTGTTTATCATGTATCAAATAAACACCTTTCATTGGAGGTGAGTACGGAGAAAATATGTTTGAAAGGATTTTATCTGATTTACAAGAGACAGAAAGTAACCTATATGTTTTTGTTGTATGCTCTATTTCTTTTTTTTCCATGCAAAATCACTTGGTCTGAAGAATATTTTGATGATTTATAACAAATTAATGCTTTATTCTCTCATGTAGATAAAAATCTCCAAAATAATAGAAATAGTAAAAAAAAAAAGAAAGAAAGAAGAAGAAATGTCTGTCATCAGTCACTTTAAAAATATGACTAAAATATGGCTTTTATGGCTCATATTCATCGTTAGGGTAAAGTCGTTAATAATACTACTCAGTAATTTGTGTGTGATGGCTAAGATGGGAGATTATCTGAAATGTATCTTTTTGCAATGAAACTAATACGACTCTGAAGAGGTTTATGTGTTTGCCCCAAATAAAGTTATCATCATTTCCCCAAAAGTGAAAGGGTCAGTCTGTTGGGCCTGCAGTTTATAACTTAAATAAACATCCATCTATTGTTTATATCCACTTATAGCTTAAAAAAAAAAAAAAGCAAAAACATATTTGGCGTTGTAGCCAACTAATTCATGGGAAAAGTTGCTGACTGGACAGTTTTCCACCGGAGTCACCGACACCCTCACATCCTCCACAGGGAGGATCATGTAAAAAGAGCAAAAGAATGGCAAGTTGAGTGAAAGGAAAAAAAAACTGGAAATGCGACAGCAATAGCTCTGTGAAGATTGTAAAACAAAGTTTGGGAGAGTCATAGACTTGTAAGGGTGAATATGTTGCCCTTTTAAATAAAGGGTGTGGGGGGTGGAGGGTTGCAGTGAGAAGCAAGAACAGCTACATTTAACACAGAACTGATGGTCAGCGGTGCCTCTTTGATAACACACACACAGCAACAGAAGCAACACACAGTGAGCGTAGTGGGGTTTTTATCACTGTGTATATTTCTTATAAAAATGATAACAGAAAAGCCTGATACGCCAACAAATGGGTAGTAATCTGAGGTAGATGCAGAGACAGAAAGTGTGGAGTGTTTCTTAGGGATGGTGTTGCTGTGATAATCCGACACAGAAGATTATGCGTGTTTAATCCAGAAGTGACGTCAACAAACTGATACAGAAAACTGTCTGGTCCTGCGCACACTGCAGCAACAGAGAGAAGACTCAACATGTCAGTGATGCACACAGAGAGAAAACTGGACTGAGAGAACTGAAAGATAGGGATTGAAGTCCACAGCATATTCCTCCCATCCTGTATAAATTATATAAAACAAGTAAGCATTGTATAATTTTTCCTTTTCCCCTTTTCCATCCCGAGTGTACCTTAGTGAGTGCAGCGAGCTGACAGGAGGGAAAAAACCTTGAACAACCAAGCTTTGAATCCTCAAAAAAAGTGCCTCTTAGAGAAGTAGTTTCATGATCATACAGAGGTTCTTTTTCCCCCGAATAGAAAGACTGATAATGGAAAATTTTAGAGCCCTTTTAGCCCACACTTTTAGCTGCTGAGAGTTGATTAATCACCTTGTTATCTCTTTCACTGACTGGCCATCAAACTGGTCAGACCTGTAAGCGCCAGAGAATCTATGGAGTATTGAAAAGAGGAAGATGATAAAACACCAGAACCAGCAATGCAGATGAGCTGAAGGCAGCAACCTCTGCTTCCACTAAACTTTAGCAGAGTCAGAGGCCAATCAAATGTACTGCACAGTACATGGAGACTCGTTTCAGTAAGGCCTCACGTTTCTGCGTCAAACACCTATTTATTGGTCTTTTTTCCTGAAAACTGAGCTACTGAAATAAATAATAATAACATTTCCTGATATTGAAATTTCCATAGATTGAACCAAGACGTTTGGTTTTTAAGCTAACTGGGTAACCAGCACAGCTAAGACCAGTTCTGAACTGAATAAACCCCATTGTGCCGCCTTTCAGAGCAGCGTGACCTCATCTCTCACCTCGGGTTGTCAAGACATGTCATCCTCCTCATGCAAACACTGTGAGGCTTATTCCTGAGTCTCAGGATTAAGAGAACCCTGGCTGTGGCCACTTATGCACCTCGATTCTCACACACATACACACACACACACACACACACGTGCGCGCAAAAGGACTCCAGTAACAGCAGGCAGCAGCCTTCGCTGTCCGAAGGGATCACAGAGTTTGGTCTCGTGTGTTTGGGGACACCATGTGTGTATAATGATGAGTAAACATGGCGCTCCGGTTGTTGCCCGCAGCCGTCGGCCTGATGCCAAGTGATGGGCAATTCGCTAAGAGGGGATTGTTTGCACGGTTGCCGCTGGTGTTTCTCAGATAACAAATGAGTTTATCCTTACAACCTGCACACTTTTCTTACATAACCTGACAGGATTTTTTTTTTTTTTTTTTTAATGGCTTCATGTTCGTAACGACCACTGACAACGGCAGAGATCGCAAGGCTCCAAGCTGACACAGGAGATGCTCTCTTTATTTGCGTTTCACATGACATACAGAATGAAACAATTGTTAGTTTTTCTTTTTTACACATTTCGAGTTGTTGCCGCCTTACGCAACAAGTGATGTGAACTGTGAGAGAATCAAACTCAGAGTTGTTATATAATGTTAATGATAAACTGTCAGTGAGGCTCACAGAGCAGCCTTTTTCTCAATGGGGCTCAGCTGGACGCATATTATCTTCCATCCTCACATCTAGAGCAGCAGCAACAAACACCAGTCAGCCTATTGGGCACAAATAAGAAATAATCTGCCTATGCCAGGTTTTTTTTTTTTTTCACGAAAAAGAAGAAAAATGAGCAAATTTCTCTTTCTGTTGGAGGAAGGACAGCGTCTATCTCGGAGAACAGCAATAAACATGTAACAATATCCTATAACGCAATTGAGTAATTACAGGAGCTGCACGACATGTTGTAGCGTGCAGCACGGTGGCCTTGAAGAGAAACACACAACGACACAACCAGAAAAGATTAAAAAAATAAATAAAATAAAAAAACATACAGCAGCATTTTAGAAAAACAAGAAAAAAATATACCACAGATTAGGCAGTTGTAAAATTAGGCAGTTTTATGTTGATTTGCTCTTACTGGTGAACAGAAAGCTAATGGCTTAAAAAAAAATGTTTTTCACAGATTCAATAAAAGCATCACAATTAATGACTCCCACTATTTTTAGTCAATAAATCTGAGAAAGGTTAGGAACAAATGCATCGATGCAGAAATCCTGCAACCCCTTCATATTCAAAACTGTTACAAAGGAAGCAGAAAAAATTGTTTCCAGGACCAGAATTGGTCTACATTTTGAAGTAAGAGCTCAAACATAGTGGAAGGTCTCAGTTGGAGCATATCTGATCTCTTTTTACAGTTTTTCCTTGTGTTGAAAAGACGTTTGAGGTCCATCAGATGCACCCGTCCTGCGGTGGGATAAACAGTCGTCCAGTCAAGCACAGCCGGTCCATGCTATGTGGAGGAGGATGTCTTCTGGTCAGGCAGCAGTTGTGTGGAAGTGCTCTCCTTGTTTTCAGAGGTCAGACTCGTTTTATCCCCGTCAGCACCCGTGTCACTCTTCTCAGAGCCCTGCGGCTCTTTGGTCTCACTCTGACAGGAGGCCAGAGCCGAGCCGTCCCCCTGGTTCGACGTGGACTTGTGAGAGGAGCTGAGGGAGTTTGTGGGGCTGAGCTGGATGGCCGTCGTGTCCTGCAGGGTGTGCTCGCTCATCTCCATCTCGAAGGCGACCGTCCCCATCCGCATCAGCCCCCACTTCTCCCCTCCCTGGGTCTTCCGAGCCATGTGGGACGGGGGTCTCCTGCTGACCACGCAGCAGGCCGTGAAGAAAGCCAGAGCCAGCAGCAAGAGGAGGGGCCCGATGATGATGGGAGGGTTGGCCGCCAGGCTGAAGGTGCCGAAGGCGAAAGCTCCGACCAGGGTGATGTTGATGCCGGCCAGCATGATGCACAGGCCGCAGGCGCAGCACAGAGCCGGGGAGGGCAGGTTCTGGTGCCGCAGGCTGCGCCGCTCTGGGATGTTGCTGGGAGCAGATGGTCTTGATTTCTCATCAGGTAGCACCATGTCTTAACAGGATTGGACGAAGCACTTCATCACTGCACACACAGAGTTTTGTGGGAGAAAGTTTCAGTTTTTTAGTCGTCGTTGGTACATTTCTCAACGTCTCAATCGTCATGTTTGGGCACCTTTAAGCAAACGAGAGACTGTCATGTATGATCAAACTGTCTCCAGTCAGAGGCGTCTACAGAAGAGCTGCGATACGGACCGTTACAGGAGAATCTCCCTCCCCCACAACCATCATAATCTACAACTGTTTGAAGAAACATTTTCATTTAATTTCAGGATGAATGAAGGATTTTTGATTTGAGGCACACAGATCTATACCCAGGCAAAACTGGAAGAATCACATAAACCATTAAAAGTTCATTTCAGCAGCATTATTACCAACAACTCCGCGTCACTTACCTTTTATTGAACCCGTAGTCCTGCTGGGTGCCTGGCCGCGCTCTGTCTCTGCATCCTGTTGCACAGCAGCTGCGGGGTGAATGTTGTCTCTCCCTCCAGTAGGTGAACAGCAGAAAGCAGCTGCTGCACTGCTCGCCTCTCACCACTAGGAGCGGTAAAGAGTCAAGTCAAACAAACTGTCAAATCATCCTCATCCAAATACCCTTTCCTCCGATAACGAGAACTTTGACAAAATAGGAATCAGTAAGTTACGGTTAATTCTTAAGCTATTTAAAATAATTACTTAAAGTTTTTATTATTATTATTATTATTTAAGGCTATTAGAAAAGCAAAAGTCACTGCATAAAAACAGATACTTCTCAGATGTCATATAAATCATAATGACAAACTATTTCAGAGGAAGCCTGTTTCTTCGTTTTTCTTTTTTTTTTCCACCAAGCAATTACTTTCTACATCCTTCCCCCTCCCTTTGGCCTTCAGCTCGCACAAAAGAGCCTTTGAAAATAAAAACTACTGACATCCCCTGAGTCAGAGCAAGTATATTAAGAGATAACCGTTGAACACAAACCAACACAAATTACACAAGAGGTGATATTTCAAAATTTTTTTATTGAGAACACAGCATCCCAGTGGAAATCTGCTCCATGCACAAGAACAGCTTTGCTCATCAGGTCCTACATCAAAGCTCTGCGGGGCTCCTTAATTGCGTACCCATTACCGCATCTCATTTGATGCCATTAAAACCCGGCATAAGGGGGGCGGCCGGGAAGGGAGGGGTTCTTTTTAGGATTCATAAAAAACAAGAGCGGGGGTTTTAACATGGCAAGTAATTGTTTCCTGATGTTGTCTCAGAGCAAATCTCTCTTAATTCCTGCTTGACAATGAAAGCTCTCAGATGCTGAAGAGATGGGGTGACCATGGCAACAGCACGAGATACGGGAAAGATGGGAGGGGAAGGGGTCTGTTCGAGGGCGGCAAGTAAATTTAAAAGGGTTAAAAGAAGTTCAGGTGGATACGGCAGCCCGAACATGAACCGAAAACAAAATGAAGTCAAAATACTTCAGCTTTCCCAATCCCTTTTGCTTCCATGTTCACATTACCAAATACAAAACTAAACAAAATACACTTACAAAAATAAATCCCCTTAATTACTTTAGGCCAATTTCTTACCATCAAATGTAACATGAAAATAAATCCCTTTGACTTTTATGACTATCTACAACTTTAAAAGCAAGAATCACAGCTCAAGTCTACAAAAAAAAAAAAAAACTCCAAATGTACTAAACAACTGAGCAGAAAAAAATAAATCAATATTTGTTGTGGTGTTTCATTTTTTTTTTTGTTTTTAGAGCAAAACAAAACCTATCTGGAGGATTGAAATAAAGATTTAAAAAAAATAAATCATAATGCTCTGCATACATTATATTCTCCTCGAACCATGGAAGCCCATTCAGACAACTTCAAAGAAATTGAGTCATAGCCACGCATTTCAATGCTAAAATTATGGGTTGTAAATATATTACTGATGATTTTTAATTCAAATGATGAAATCTGAAGTCACAATTCTCAGTTAAGTTTTATAAAAAAAAAAGTTATAATTCACATTAAAAACGTTATGAGGTAGATAACCATAATTTTGACGTTGTACCTGGACTTATAATAAACTTATTGTTTAAAAAAAAAAAAAAAAGAAAATTGGTGTTGCAAAACAAATGGAAAAACAGAATAAAAAACACAATAAAAATGTTTATCTCAAAATAGTTACCTTTTTTAATGTATATTTAATTGATTTGACTTTAAATATACATTGCATTTAATGATAATTATTACCTCACAGTTATAACTTTAACGCTCATAAACAGCGACTATGAGTTCAGTTTTCTTTGAAGTGGCACCAATGGGCTTCTCTTGCATTCACTCAAACTACGTTCATTTTAAAGTACAGCAGTGCTACAGGTAGGTTGTGTTGCAGTGAAAAGATCCTTAATTCAAGCACCTGAAAATCACACTCATGCAATTAACACATAATGACTTTAACTGGTAATATGAATAAAAAGCTCCAGGTTTCTCCAAGAGTCGTCCACTTCTATCCTTCAAACATAAACACAAACATCCAATCACATCCACATACGGGCTTTAAGAAGCACAAATCATCCCTTTTCTGAAGCTTAATAGTAAAATCAAAATACTGAATAATTCACAGCTAATAAAAAAAAGAAGAGAGAAATAAAATCAGCAAAAACAAAATGATTTTCACATGAGGACAGTAAACGGCTGCACCTCTAAAACGCTGTTCTGCTAATTATATGTCCTAGATTTATCTGCTGGCAACAACAGAGGTTTTGTTGTTGGCTTTTTGGTTGAGAATTACCAATAAATACATCGGTAAAGCTTAAGAAATACTTTTTTTTTTAAAGCGAAAAGTGATCTCGGGAGTTTAAAACCTAGGCAGCTTAAAAAAAAGTGTTGCATGTAAAGTTAGTCAACTCTGATGCCACGTGAGTGCTCCAATGAGACTCCCTGTGCAAAAGACAAAACAAAACAAAACAAAACAAAACAAAAAAAATGAAAGAGCTGGTAGAATCTGATATTGGTTAGCGAAGACAACCAGGAGGGAAGCTGTGCTGGTGGCTCAGGCTGCTAGGTCATCAGAAACAGGAGAGAAGTGCCCGCTGCGCAGAGCGTTGGACTGGGCCCGTCTGCGGGCCAGCCGGGAATTGGAAGGAGGGGACAGCCTCATGGAGCAGACGATGGACGCCGAGTCCTCCTGCTGCTCGTCGTGCTGGGAGAGCTGCCGGTTAAAGGCGATGGCTTCTGCTGCAAACTGGGTCAAGTCCTTGGTGCTGCTGTTCCTGAAAAGAGGAGATTCTGTGTTTTAACGACCAACGCTGTCCGCACGACCTACAAAAAGCTAATTCCTCGTTCCGCTGGACGAGGAAATAACGCTCTAAAAAAAAAAAAAAAATGTCCCTTTCAACTCAAAATCATTTACGTCTCCCTTCCGCTGCCTAAAATGTGTCTGTTTTGTTTCAAAGCATCGTAAAGACATAAAAAACTCGCAAAGCAAACCTCTGTAGGACACGAGGAGTTGGAAGACCTCTCTCTGGTGCATTCTGTAAATATATATATAAAAAAAAAGGATTATAACAGTTTACTCACAGGATCAAATCAAACAACACAAGTCCTAAACCTAAATATATGGAAATAATACCGACCCCCTGTAGCCAAGGATGCTGCAGGACCTGAGCAGCGCTGAGGCGCAGAGTGGAGTCCCGAACCAGCAGCTTCGATATGAGATCCTTGGCTCCGTCTGTGATGTGAGCCCAGTCCTTGTCTGGAAACTCGTACTTGCCCTCCTGGATGCTCTCAAACAGGAAACTCTGAGGAAAGCAGTACGACCTAATCTTACTTCTTTCCAAACATAAATATGATGACGTTTTAATCGACATTTTAAAAGACATAAACACTTATGATGGATAACGTTGCATGTTCAGTTTCAGAAGTGACCAACGTACAAAAGGTATTTCTTGATTTAACTTTCGTAAACAGTGAAATCCTGGATCTTCAACCTGATGGGAAGTGAGTAAAACTTTGTCTTTTCTTTTTTTAACATATCACTACCACATCAAAATGTAATGTTTTGTATGGTGTTTTCTTTAAAACTTTGTAATTTTTATGTTTTTAATTACATAAAGCACCTCAAACAGCCCTGCTGCTAAAATGTCCTATACACACCAAACATTAATTGATTGATTAACACAAAGACCTGCTATTTTTGCCATTTCTCTGGACCGCCACCTACTTGATACATGCAATGATTTATATAAGCATTACTTTATTTCACTTGTATGGAGATGGAACTGTAAAGCTCTATCAATGCATGTAATAATGCGTGTTTTGTCAGACGTTATAAGCACAGAAACTAAACTTGAGAGCACACCTGGCACGCTCTGCATGCTTCCCCCCGATCCCACCCGCAGTCGGTGCCACAGTGGCCTGTGAAGGGGGGGCTTCCACTCAGCAGGATGTAGAGGATGACGCCGAGGCTCCACAGGTCGCAGCGCTTGTCGTAGAAGGAGGCCTCGTCGGTGAACGCCTCCACTACTTCTGGAGCCATGTACTCCGCTGAGCCGCACTGAGAGAAGCGAGACGTCGGCGTGTTTAAAAAGTCACGGCCAAGTCGTAAATCGGAGTTTGGAGTGAAATGTTAACGAGCCCGTACCGGCGTGGTGAGCTCTGGCGTCGTTATGGGAGTACAGGCGCTGCTGAGCTTTACGCCGCTTCCCAGATCAAAGTCGCAGATTTTTACTGGCGACACCTGAGAGAAAACAGAAAAAGGGGAAGGACATTTATTACAGCCATAACAAATATGTACAGGGATAACCGTCTCCCTTAAAGCTTAATAACGTCACTTACCCGGTCTGTGTATTCGCACAGGATGTTTTCCAGCTTGAGGTCCCTGTGAGCAATTCCTGAGAAATAAAAAACACACTCCAAACTAAATCTTTTTCACGTCAAGACTTCGACACGTAAGCTGTTCAGAAACAAATGTACCCTTTGTGTGCAGAAAGTCCAAGGCTTGCGCAATGTCCCGGACCACCTTGCTGGCCTCCAGTTCGTTGAAGTGCTTTCGGTTCTGGATGTGTGTAAGAATGGAGCCTGCGGGAAGAAAGGAGGATTACTTACATTTCTGTTTACAGCGCCTCGCAAAAGTTTTCACATATGGAGGAATTTTTTCTGCCATAATCCCGAGAGCACACATTTTCAGTCCGAAAGCAGGAGTTCATATCTTTTGTTCTCGAAACTTTTTAGTACTTTTGCTTACGTTAATATTTTGAAAGCCGGACTTCATGTCTTTCTTCTGAAAACTTGAAATGCTTGTACTCAAAGCTTCTCCTCGAAAGTTGAAAGTGTTGTACAGACTGAAAATGTGTGCTCTTGGATTATGGCAGAAAAATTCCTCCATACTCACACTCCTTTTAATTTTTAGCATTTTTGAAAAGAAATCCACAGTTTACTAAACTCTCTTTATGCTAGTTGAACACATAAAATCCAAAGGAGATACATTTGATTTCATGGTAGCATATTGGAAAAAGCACAAGGGTTATGAATACTTTTGGAAATACTGAGAAACCGATAAAAAATAAATAAACATGTTAGACGTGTGCAGATGGCACCGTTAATATTTCATACTTGCCTCCACGCAGCTTTTCAAACACCAAGTAAAAGTACGAGCTGTCTTCAAAGAATTGGATCAGTTCCAAGATGTTCCTGGACAGAGACATTCAGAGCTGTTTAGAATGGGTTTCATTTATTGTTTGAGCATGTTTTTAACAGAAATGACGAACAGATTGCATGAACAACTCACTTGTTTCCTTGACACTGATAGAGAGTCTCCACCTCTCGAAATACTCTGCTTCGGCTGTGCCCTGCGGCCTTTTCTATGATCTGCCCAAGACGACACGCAAGACATGTTTAGTTGTCTATATAAAAACATACAGTTGTACTTATCTGACAAAAAAAAAAAAATAATAAATAATAATAACTCACTTTCACAGCAAACTCCTGTCCATTTTGCAGGCTCACACATCCTTGAACTTTAGCATAAGCCCCCTGACCAAGCACCTCATCTGTCAGTTTGTACAGATCTATGCGAGAGAAAGCAGGACATTAACGCCACTGCGTCTCGTTGTCAAGCGATGAGGACGACACTGTCAAATAACTTCATTACCATTAAAGGTGCCTGTGAAGCTGTCGGTTGCTCTAGTCCGTTTCTTCTTTCTCCTTTTGGAAAAATCCGGGATGTTCACCGGCTGACTTTTCTCAATCTCTGCAGCAGAGCAGAAAATTCTTAATCTACACGTGTAATGTAACATTTACCAGGATGTGCTGCCATTCAAACGAGCGTGCATACAGCTGCTACAACCATTACAAGTGGTGCATACCTGCTGTACCCTGCGAGAGGGGCTGCGGTTCTTCCGTGATGTTCCCATTGTTCTGGATTCTCGCACAGGTTTGTCCTACTTGGCCCCCAGCCAGGGGGTTACCCTGTAACACAGAGAAGCAGGCCGAACAGCCAGGGGAGGGAGAAAGAGGGGGGGGGTGAAGCGAGAGCAGCCAGAGAAATCAGGTGGTGGTCCAGCAGAAAATGCAAGAAAAACAATGAATAATATGTCCACTTGGGCTTGGTTGTTCAATTTCGCAGAATCTTGTTCATACAATCTTCTTTTTAAGACGTCTGAACAAAGTTATAGTTGTATTTCTAGCATTAGAAACCCACCTCAACCCTGGTTACAAATGCAAATCTTCACCCAACCTTTTAGAGTGAATGACTCATGAATTATGGTTGAGCTTCTGTTTTTATTTTGTCAGATAAGGCCAGGCAGTGTGAGAACTACTTCCAGTAAGCTCAACATCCTGAAACGCATTTCAGGAAGCGAAAGCAGAGAGATAGTAAGAGATAAGACCAGACCAAACCTGGTGAGGCTGCTGGATGGTCTGCAGCTCCGACATCACGCCATGCCTCACCATATCTGCCAACTAAAGGATTACAAACGGAATTAGTGAGAAATTCAGTGCAAGAAGCGTAACAACAAGCTACTGCGTGTAGGGAGAAGAGAGTACATGTACAGAATTTGAGCTATGGCAGTAAATCACCTAAGAATACAATTATGTAGCTTCTGTAGAAATGCATGTCTGAATTTGTCAAATATTTTTAGTTTGTGTGCATTCAGTCAAAACCGGATCGGCTACTTCTTGTAAACTTATTGGTTTTAGTTTTATCCGAAGTAAACCTGATGTCTTCTTTTATAGAATGCGGATGGTCTGAATTTTATCAACAACCTGATTACTTAACAACTCGTCCAAAAGTGTGGAATTGGCAGTTCTGTTCGTAAACAAAACAGCCCTTTTTTTTTCTTTACCCCCTGCTACTTAGCCATCTGTGGCTAAGGTTAGCTAACCAGCTAGGCTAACTTCTTCTATCGTTTCATTCCTAGTTGTTTGACTGTTGAAGCTAACCCTGTCACGAGAGAGTTCAAATAATCCCACATACGCAGTCAGATAAAACAAAATAAAAAACACTCTGACCTGGACTCCAGAGCAGCCAAATCCTTCCTGTCAAAGCCTCTGCCGCCAGCTGATGTAAGCTCCCATTGCTAACTGAGATCAATCAGTCAGGCAGCCAATGACGCACAGGGCGGGAAAACGCATAAACAGACTGTCGGCCCGGCCATTCCGGTTTTCCCGTTTTTCTATTGGTGGAGAATGAGGTTGCCTGCGTTACGTCACTATACGTGACTGGCTCCACGCCTCAATCCACGTAGAGGGGAATTTTTGTGCGTGACGAGAGACTTTTTTTTTACTCAGCCTCACGCCCCTTTCAGAGTGCTGACAAGTCAGCACAAAGAGGTAGAATGATTGTTATGTATACACTGAATAATGTCCAATTTGCATTTGGACTACGGAGGGCTAAAAGTATCACGGTTCGTCAAATAATGCAATTGTCTAAAAGGTATTATTACTCTATATCTATTCCACAGATTGTGAAATCAGTTGACAGGATTTTACAGGAGTTCCTCCCACTTTGTTTTCTGGTGGCTCCCATCATAATGTAGACTTTGCTGTCTTGGATGTAGGACACAAAGGAGACCATCCATATCCCCAAATTTTAACCCAAGATGAGGACAAAGTCTGATAAAGTGCACTTTATAAATGAATGTTTATATGTTCTTATGTGTAAATAGGATTTGTTGTGTGTTTTTTCTTGTTTTTTTTGTTTTTTTTTGTATTTTTATGTAATTACTAAATATACAGAGTATACATTTATATAAGGTTTTTCTACTTAGATTATCCACTCAAACCATGTTGTGACCAAGAAGCTTGAAAAGTATGGTTATGGCGGGTTTTCTCTGTAGTTGCAAGTTGGATTTTCAGGTTGTTTATGCAGATGATTAATACATTTAAAAATAAATAATTATTTTGTTATTAAAGCCTCCGTTTCATGTACACTTGCTGAATTGTTTATTTATAATTCCAATTTCCAGTAATTTAATGTTTATTCATGGTATTAAGGGATAATACTGTCCATAAAAAAGAAAAAAAAAACAGAAACTGACCTGAAAAATGTTTCCTAATGCAAAATGTTATATATTTTTAAATAAATTTAAAGGAGGCCAAAATCTTATAAGATTAGCAACATCTTTATTTTATTGTATGAACGTATAAATTCTTGTCTTTTTTCTTTATTGACTTGTTTGTTTACGATGGGTCAGTCTGAGATTTATCATAAAGTTGAGCCTAAATACCATATTTTGAAAAAAGTAGGACACAAAAATTTGATAAGTGGTTTCAATCAAACCAGAAAAGCAACAATTTACACAACTGCTGCTAAATTTATTCTTTTTTTTTTTTTGACAGATTCAGCTATGTTCTCAAGGGGTTTTGTTTGCGATTGGTGTGTAATATTTGATGGCCTTACTGTGCTTTTATTTTGCAATAATCAAAAACACGCTCAGAGACGTTTAATAAAAACATTTATAACCAAAAACGTTCATACGTCAAGCACAACACATAAAAACTCAAACTTGAAGCAAAACCACATAAAATGCAAGGAAAAAAAGAAGTGGCGTTTTGCCAGAGGCGGACACAGAAGTATAAAGATATAGCACCACAAAACGTGCACTGTCTCTGAAGGTACAGCGACTCTCTCCAAAGGAAGGTGGAAGGTGAGTGAAATCCATGAAACTGTCCAACGTTTTGGAATGTTTTACAGATGGTGTTCTCTCCGGGGGCTCAGATAACGTCATAGTGTAAACTCCTCTGTCCATGTGCTTCTCGTCAAGTACATATCTTCTCTGTCATCTCCCTCTGCAAAGCAAAAACGAGGAATGAGTTAACACAATAAATATTCAGTATTTTCAAAGAGATCCATTGCAATAAACTGAAATTAGAGTTTCAAAATGAAACCGATATTCGGGTGTGAGATTTCCCGCTTTTGTTCCTCCAAGACCAATAATGAGGAAGTTTAAAAAAAATAAGTAATAATGTGAAAACAAAACTGGATTTCTTTTCTCTGCGAATGCTGAAATAATTGTCTCATCTTCATTTTCATTTCTTCGTGGAAAGAGCTCCACAGCTCAGGCAAGAATAATTGAAACCTTTCGCTGGCACGGCGAACACTGTTCTCCATCTGCTCTGATGTGATAGAGCTCTCTGCTGGAAAAATGCTACAAATTACAGATTCTTTTCTCATTACATGACTGCAAAGAGTTGGCGTGTTGTTTTAGGCCAACTGCTTCAAAGCAGCTGAAAACCTCCGTTGGAGACGGAAAGTTGAGGTCAAGAAATTTAACATTTATCCATTTGCCATCAATAACTGGATGGGAAACTGTTGTCATGGAGAAAATACAGCTGATGTGTTGAAGTGCTTTATATTTTGTAACACTGTAAGCCCTTTTATTTTGTAAAGCAGCTCTGATAAATTGGACACAATGGAATTGTGTTGAAGTCTGGATTTTGACTGAATCATGTTATCACAACCTTTTTGACCCAGAATCAAGCTTCATTCATCCTCCCATTAACTCTGACCAGATTTCTGGCCACTCTTCTCTCTTTCTGGGGAGAAATATTCCTGCATCATAATGCTGCCGCTCCCATTTTCACCATTTTCCTGTGCAGTGTTAGCTGCACTGAATCATATTTTACATGTTGCTCTAAACAAAAATACAATTTTGGACATCATGACCAGAGCACCTCCTTCCACATACTTGATGTATGAACTGAAAATCGTGTAATTTCCCTTCTGTAACACAATTATGCAGTAGTTTCTGTTGGTCTAGCATTTTAAATCCCTCTGAAATTAATATAAATTTTCCCCAAAACACTCCATAGATATAAAATCTTTAACAAAGCATTGTTTGTCTTGTCTATAGTGAGTAAGGAATAGCTTTTCTTTCATTCAATGGACAGCTAACAGAGTGGCGTGGATGTTAAAAACTCACCAGAGGCTCCAGTTCAGAGTTATCGATGAGACTGAACTCTGAGATGAAGTAGTAGTAGTGTTTGTAGCAGGTGTTGATGTGGGCCTCAGCGCCCATGCTGCAGATGCTGTCAAAGTGATGGATGTAAACATGCACAAACACCCGGAAGAGACGGCTCAGGATCTTCTTGCACACCTGCTGGAAGTTCTTGGGAAATGGTACACCTGCAGGAAAGCAGCAGGAAATGAATAATTTACGATTTTTATGTCGACATTGTGACATTGGGTGTTGACCAATTAGGGCTTTGACTACAAAAATAAAAGTTATCTGAAAACCGTTGTGTTTCATTCTATTATAAAGTCAAGACAATAAAACAGTTCTGAAAGAAGTCAATTTGCTGAGGTGCGCATCTGTATTATATGATTATTTTGCACCCTATTATAAAAACAACAAATAGGAAACATCCTATTAGAAATACTTTAAGTGCAACAACCCAAATGGTACATTAAAGTTTTCCTAGATGTACACAGTAGTAAAATTGTTGTGCCTGTTAGACTACGAGTTTTTATAAGTTAACTCAGGAAAGTGGTGGAAAAGCTATCAAACTGTGGCTTTTCCAGAGTCTTGCAGAGGATAATTTTGATCTGAGCGCCAACTACTGAACTCATTTATGCAGGCACTTCTCACCTCTCATTAAATCAATGATTATGCATGTCATTAAAAAATACTGCCACTGTTATCTATTCTCTGCTAAATGCCAATATCACTTTCTAATTAACCTCATATTGAACTAGATCCTCTTGTTGGAAAGCATTAATGAGGTCACATAGCAGGCACTGACGCATCACTGCACAAAACGCCCGGTCCTCTCCCAGATGATGCACTCAGTCACACCTTTCATTTGTGAAGTTCTCACACACACCTACTCTGGTGGGGAAGATGTCCTCATTGTTGATTAGAGACTCTATCCAGTCCATCAGCAGGTTCATGTACTTGATGGCAGGCAGCTTGGTGGGCTTCTTGTAGTCCTCGCCATCCTGCCATCTGTACTCGTACTTCAGGCCCCCGGACATGATGGGGCACGTGCGCTCGCTGCAGTACTCGCTGACGGTGCCATAGATCAGGTTGATCCTGTTGAAGAAGTCCACCACGTGAACCGCGATCCAGTCGTTGAGGTTCTCCCCCTCGGGCAGCTGTACCACTTTCCTCAGGTCCAGGCCCGACTTGAGCGAGGCCTGGGCCTTCTTGTAGAGTTCGAAGCGCTGCGTGCCGGGCTCAAAGCGCTTCCTTGGCCTGAACGTTTTGGCTTTGCTGAACACTTGTCCGAGACACAGCGCCATTGGCTCAGCCGCTTCCCCCGAGATAAGGGGAGATTAGGGCCTCCACAATGAAGAATAAGTTTGAGTTTGATAAAGCTGAGCTTCCTGAGTGAATGAGAGGGAGCAGCCTGGTTCAGGTTACCACGGGTCAGTGTCTGTCATGTGAAGATTCCCAGCTGAAACTTTTTCTGTAAAGAGCAACAACAGATGTGTTAGACATATCTCTTGCCTGTCAATCTACTGGTTTGGTCACCGTCAGTCCAAAATTTTAAAGGAAACAACACAAAATCCTACCAGTCGAATATGCAAATGGGTTTAATTAAAAATAAATTTAAAAAAAAAAGTTTTGCTTCATCAGCTGGGATCAAATCTTCCTAAATGTTGATACTGCATTAACTTTTTTAGGGATTTTATGTGATAGACCTCGACATAGACACAGTAGGCCTGCATAGTTGTGATGTGAAAAACAAGCATGTTTTTTTTTTAATCTTGCGGTTCAACCTCACTGAGTCAGTGCTTAAAAAAAAGCATTTTCCTTCTCTGGCACAACAAAAACTAAACTTCTTCAGCAGTGACATGGAAGCTGCTCATAGTTGAGAGGAAGATTAATTGAGCTAAAATAAAAAACAAAACTGGAGGGAAAGCTGTTGGTGGCTGCAAAAGGGTGATGTTCTCCTTCCAGCAGAACAATATAAAATATATAAATGGAGCTAAAATGAGCTGGCCCAGTCAAAGTCCAGCATCAAATTCAGTTTAAAATATAAAAGGGCCTCTACATTATTCTGACTGAGATACAGAAAGTTTGAGAAGAGAAAAGAGCAAACTGTATGTGTCTAGACAACAATCTGGTGAACACCAGATGAAAAGGCACAACATGATTGGATCTACATGCATATGTGGTTTCAATTTCTCACACACTCTTCAAGACA